CAGCAGCTGCATGTGGAGGAGCGGAGACGCGAACCCGGTTCCCCAGATTATGAGTCCACCACTCTTAACCACTACACCACACAAGATGGAATCAAGAAATTAAAGGAATAAGGGTGGGACAGAGACAATACAAATTAAAGCATTTGGTGATGATGTAGTGATATATGTAGAAGAACCAATAGAGTCAATTCCGAAAACATTAGAAGAGATAGAAAAAATGGAGAAATAGCAAGTCTTAAAATTAATAAAGATAAAACCAAGCTCCTGGTAAAAAACATGAATGATGAGAGTAAAAATAAATTGCAAAATATATCAGGTCTAAAGATTGAAAAGAAGGTTAAGTATTTAGGTGTATGGTTAACAGATTACAGCTGTATAAAGATAATTATCTGAAAACATGGGAGCATATTAAAAGAAATTTGCAAATATGGAGTAGAATGAAACTTTCGTTGCTGGGTAGAATGTTGACCATAAAGATGAATATACTACCAAGAATGTTATTTTTGTTTCAATCAATACCGGTGATCAGCAAGACAGTTTGCTTCAACAAATGGCAAAAATATATTTATAAATATATCTGACAAGGGGGAAAAACTGAGAATACAATATTAAATACTGATAGACATGAAAGAAAGAGGAGGTTTATATTATGAAGCATCTTGTCTGTGCTGGTTGAAGGATTGGTTGCTACTGAAGAATCCACATATTTTAGATTTGGAAGGTCATGATAATATTTTTGGTTGGCACACTTATTTGTGCTTTGGAAAGGCAAAAGTACATAAAGCCTTTGCAAACCATATAATTAGGGGGGAAATGTATAGAATATGGGATAAATATAAAAACGTATTGGAGAATAAAACACCACTTTGGCTTTCACCTTTGGAAGCCATAGTGGTGAAAAAGAAAAATATGATGGAAAGTTGCGTGACTTATAGAAATTTGCTAAGAGAGGAGAGTGGAGAACTTAAATTAAAAGAGTTTAAATTAAAAGAGTTTAAGGATTTATCTTGGGAATTATAGGATTAGAACTACCCGAACAGTATAGAAATTTATTTATGTATGTGACTACAGCTGCAAGAATGTTATTTGCCCAAAAGTGGAAGGATGAAGAGGTCCCAGCGAAAGAAGATTGGGTACAGAAACTAATGGAGTATGCAGAAAGGGCAAAACTTACTGGAAGAATAAGAAATCAAGACAACAAACGTTTTAGAAAGGAATGGAAGTAGTTTATTGAGTATTTACAAACTGTAAACAGATCAAGACATTGGCAGGATTATTATAAAAACCTGCAGTTTTAGAAATATAGATGAGATATAGATGAGAATAGACGATTAAAAAGAATAAGTGAAGGTAACTTGGAGTATGCAGGAAAGGACAAAAATGTAAGGAACCGCAGAAAGAGGGGAAAGGGAGTCAAAACTGAAAATGTTAAAACTGTTAAAACTATGATTAAATAATTGATGTAATGTATATAAACAAAAAAGATAAATAAAAATTTAAGGACGAAAAAGATCGAACTGCTGGCCCACTCAGAATGCTTTGGACTGGAGACTGAGATTCCTTCTTTTTCCTTTGTCTGAAGGGCTGCCTGACCCTCCTTGGTTTTGCTGTGCTCATTCAGTGAGACTGCCTTTATATGGGGCTACTAACCATGGAGAACGCGGGTGGCGTTGTGGGTTAAACCACAGAGCGTAGGGCTTGCCGATCAGAAGGTCGGCGGTTTGAATCCCTGCGACAGGGTGAGCTCCCATTGCTCGGTCCCAGCTCCTGCCAACCTAGCAGTTCGAAAGCACGTCAAAGTGCAAGTAGATAAATAGGTACCGCTCCAGCGGGAAGGTATACAGCATTTCCATGCGCTGCTCTGGTTTGCCAGAAGTGGCTTAGTCATGCTGGCCACATGACCCGGAAGCTGTACGCCGGCTCCCTCGGCCAATAAAGCGAGATGAGCGCCGCAACCCCAGAGTCGGTCACGACTGGACCTGATGGACAGGGGTCTCTTTACCTTTACCTTTACCTTTACCTTTACTAACCATGGAAGCTATTTACAAGAGATTCCCTGTGTGACTTTGAGCTACTTGCAAGCCAGGGCACCTCCAGATGACCTGTTTATTAAGCATTCATCCTGATCTGTTTGCAGAGAAATCAAATGGCACTGACTATTTAAGGAGCATTCATCCCGATTTGTTGGTGAAGATAGCTTTCCTTATCGCAAAAGATCAGATCTTTGGGGGGAGCAGGTTTCTTGCGCAAGATCTCCCTGTCAACTACAACTGCACAACCTGAATTTGCCAGGCTGTCTCCCACAAGTGCCATATAAGAACGCCGGATCAGAATTATAACCCAAATTCCGGCATCACAGAATAAGACAAAAACTGGGAAGAGGCATTGTCTTCAAGTAGGATTGGAAACAGATTGCCATTCAACACTTTCAGATTCGCCTGACCCTGCATCATTCTTCCCAGAACTGCAGATTTTGCTATCAAGGAGGCTCAGAAAATAAGCCACAAACCATCTGCCTGTCCCGTTCAGCTTCTCTCACCGGCTCCCTTGGGCTGTGTGGCACTTCACTCACCTGTTCAGAATTCCCACACATCCCACAGGGCAGCCCTTGCTTAAACCGAGAGTTTGACACTTGTTTCTTTGTCAGCAAAGCCCCTACGGGAATTGCAGTCCGTGCAATAGGTTTGTCTTGTCTTTTTTTCCCCCCTCAATGCCTCTGACAAGGGGAAGCCTGAATGCAAGTCAGCTATCAGTTCTGATGGCTAAAGTAAATCCTAGTCAGGGCTGCGTGGCTTGACTTGTACAAACTGCAGGATGAAAGACTTGCCCCACAGAGTTGTCTGCTGAGAAGTTTGAGGGCACTGATTTGGTGTGAAAAGCCATGCAGCAAAGTGGCTAAGGATCACCGGCCTTTGGGACCTTCCTCTTGCTAATCTTACAAATTCAACGCCATTGCAATGTCTGTAATATACCCAGGCCAAGATTTTATTTATTTCATAAAATTTACATACCTCTTTATTTGGTTTTATATTTTTGAAAAGACAGAGTGGTTTACAAACAAGGTAAAACAATTAAATTATCATTTTTAAAAAAACATAAACAAAACCAACAACCCTGCTTTTAACAACAATTTAAAATATTTCTGAAAAACTGATGCAAAAACTTTGTGTGGCTGGAGGGCGAGAGAGAGAGAGAGAGAGAGAGAGAGAGAGAGAGAGAGAGAGAGACTTTTATGGTGAACTGATGGTCATTCATCCAGCACAGGAACGAGGACTCTACAGGACAAAGTGTACCTGCCTCATTCCGTAATATATGGCTGTGTTAACATTCTCCTTCATATTGATATTGGCAACTTTCAGTCTATCTCCACTTCAGTGCTTTCACAAACTTTGCTATCATTGCTTACATCTGAACAATGCCTTTGGGTTGACAAAAAGTGGGGGGAAGGGAGATGTTCGGTTTGTAACTTTTTCAGTAAAAAAAGGGGGGGAGGAAGAAACTACAATGCAATACTAGAAAAGCAACAACCTCATGTTTAATATTTTATTACTTTTTCCATATTAGAAGCAAAAGCGGGAGCGGGGGGGTGGGACAAGCCCTCTTCCCTGCCACCTCCAAAAAACAAGGGAGGGCAGGGGGCGGGTTGGGGAGAAGCCTCAAAATGTTGATGTTTCTGAGAGAAAGGATCATAAGAAAATTCTCCTCTTTGCCTGGCCTTTAAGGAGGATTTTAAAACCAAACCACACCGGGGTCCCTATGGTTTTCATTGTCTCAGAGATTGCCTTGAGTGTTGCTTTTTTCTTAAATTCCCTGTAAGAGTAATATATCCAAACCAAAATAAGTCCCGAAAAGAAAGGAGAAAGAGTGCCCTGAAGTCTCAGCCACACTAATTAAAATGTGGCGTTCAAGCTTTGTTGTTAAGTGCCTGGTGCAACAAGAGTTATAAATGCAGTCTAGAAACAATTAAAGTTTGCCTTACTGATTAAGATTCATATTCACTGCTCAATCAACTGAAGTTTTAATGGTTTCATCTGCGGATTAAAGCTTGCAACTATAGGGGAAGGGGCACAGCTCAGCAGTGGGGCATCTGCTTTGCATGAAGAGCATCCCAGGTTCCATCCCTGGTACCTCCAAGTAGGAAAAAGATTCCTCGAATCTGGAGAGTCGCTGTCATTCAGTGTAGACAATGATGAGCTAGGTCCGTCAGTGGTCTAACCTGGCATAAGGCACATTCCTGTTCACAGCCTCCAATAGCAGATCCAATGATTTTGTTTATTTACATTTCTAACCCCCTTTTCTTCCATTATGCAACACAAGGCAGCATACCTGTGATTCCCTGGCGGGTTCCCATTCGGGTGGTGACCAGACTCAGACCTGCTCAGCTTCAGGAAAGCAGTGGCTTCATGTGCTAATGCAGGGGTCAGCAATTTTTTTCAGCAGGGGGCCAGTCCACTGTCCCTCAGACCTTGTGGGGGGCCAGACTATATTTTTTTTTGGGGGGGGGGGGATGAACGAATTCCTATGCCCCATAGGAATTCCCAGAGATATAGTAACCCAGAGATGCATTTTAAATAAAAGGGCACATTCTAGTCATGTAAAAACACATTGATTCCTGGACCATCTGCAGGCTGGATTTAGAAGGCGATTGGGCCGGATTGCCTACCCATGTACTAATGCTTTCGGGAGACATCTCGCTAGCTACTATTGGAAACAAAATGCTAGACTGGCTTTGGTTTGAAAATGGGTGTTCTTAAATTCTTGGACATATGTTGCCTAACCAGCAATGCTCTGCTCCTGTCTGCCATACCCCCAAGAGAGATCTGGGGAGCCATGAATCCCCCAAAAAACAACTATTCCATAAGCCAAGAGAGATCCTCAGCTTGCTGGGATTACCATTTAAGAACAAAGGAAGATGCCATTCCCTGAGTGGTCCTATTGGTCCACCTAGCTGAGAGTTCTTCACAGCCAGGGTTTCTGATAGAAGTCTCTCCCATCCTACCTGGAGATGCTGGGGATTGACCTAGGACCCTCTGCATGCAAAGCAGATGTTGTGCCACTGAGCTATGACCAGTGCCAGATTTAGGGTGGTGTGAGCGGTTCTGTTACGCAGGGTGCCGAGCTGCAGGGGTGCAAAACTGAGAAGATCCATAATTGAGAAGATCCATTGAGGGATGCCAAATGTTGACCTCACACAGGGAACCACATCACGAAAGATTACCAAAGTCTGTCCCTGCTATGACCTTTCCCCAAGGAGAAGGGAATGCAGTGAGCGATGGCAGAAAGAAATCTTTTGTATTTCTTGACTGCCCCCGTGACAGCACATCATCACTAAGCCTGAGAAAACACAACCCAGGGAGCACATCAGGCTGCTTCAGGCTAGCATAGTGAGGAACCAGGGAGCATCATCCCCAAAGATGATCCAGGACACAGGGTTTGACCTTGGAGTACAGAGCAGGCAGCAAAAGGCTTTGCCCATCCAAGTCTGCGGCTTTGCTGGGGAAACACATACGACTGCTGCAACCAGCCCCCATTTGCCAAGTGAAGCCATCACTGCGGCATTGGGGCAAAGCCTAGGCAGAGCTAAGTTCCAAGGCGATTCCTCTCCTGGTGGATGACAGACAGTATTTACAAGCATCGGAACTAAATGTTCTGACCCTGCTGCATCATAAAAGGCTCTCGCCTGTAACCATTCTTCCACCCTGTAATACATTTCTCAATCAGCTATTTCACTGTCATTAAACAGAAGCTTTTAATGTCCTTGGTATGATAGGTGAAGAGTGCTTGCGGCTTTGATTCTCCATTTCAAAGTAAGCTCATAAATGCTTTTATGGTTCTGGAGTGGTTAGGGATATTGATCAAACTGTAGAGCTGGTCCCCTGTCACAGAGGCACAGGTGGTAAATGGAACATGAGAGGAATTTGTGCAAAGGAGGGAAACAGGGAAGGCAGAAAGGAAAGGGAGATGGTAGGGGCAGATACTGGAGATTAAAGCAGAGAAGATCCATAAGGAAGCACTTCATATGCTGCCTGACACTCAATTAATAGATAAAATGACAGAGTAATACGATAATGTAAAGAAAACCTATAAGCCCGGCTAATAAATCACTGCCCATTGACAAATAGCATGATACTGGTACCCAGGACAACCTATTAAAATGTAATGTTTCCTCTGAAGCATGGGAATAAGAGGCGATGGAGTCAGGTTTTGGCAAGGATCAAATGCAACATAATAAACATATCACTCAGCCGTGGCCGAACGGGAGGGAATAGCGTGTGCTCTCTTGACATTGTGAAATGACATTTCAAAGACTGGAAGGAAGAAGAACTTTCTCTGCTCAGAAACTGGGCCACAGCTCATCAAGAGCTTCTCCTGTGCAAGACGCATTGAAATGAACATATTGCTACCTGTGCAGTATCAGTTATGATTTCCCATCTTATTAGCGGACCTTGGGTTCAGTCTTGCAATGGTAGGAAACCATACAGAAAGTCCCAGGGTCAGCTAAAGCAGGGTGAAGAGCCTGTGGTCCTCCAGGTGTTGCTGACTCCAACTACCATCATCTCTGACCATGCTGGCGGGGATGAGGATGAAGGAAGACTGGTCCCCCCACCCTTGTGTTAAAGGGTCCAAGACAGCAGGACGAAAACAAACATGGGAATCTTGGGAATCTGCTGTTTGTTGGAACAGGCAGTCATGAGTTATTCAGGCCAATGAAGAATCTGAAGTATCTGAAGAAGTGTGCATGCAGACGAAAGCTCATACCAATAACAAACTTAGTTGGTCTCTAAGGTGCTACTGGAAGGAATTTTTTTATTTTGTTTCGACTACAGCAGACCAGCACGGCTACCTACCTGTTATCGGGCCAATGGGTGTGTCCTTGTTGTTCCATTCCCAAGACCCAAACATCTATCTTTATTTGTCCAGTATTTCAGTGAGAATGAGCTCAGAGGCAACCTCTTTTTTAATTCTAACTGCATGGGCTGTATCCAGTGCTGCCATTCCATTTGCACCAGAGATGTATGCATGCAGGGAAAAACTTAGTGCTTTTCCCCTCTTGCCTGCAGCTCCCCATGCACCCTCAAAATCTGCTCCAGAGAGGAGAGAATGAAGTCTCACTGCATGAGCAGAAAGCTCAGGTAAAGTCCTATGTCTTTTGCACCTGGTTCTGGTTTGTAGAGACACTGGGGATTTACTAAACAAACCAAATAGATCTTAGACACCTGAAGTATGCTCATCCCTGCCTTACAAGGCATTGTGTGGATTAGTGGAAATCACTTCTGAATATCCTAGGTAGACAAATGCCAAATATTATGCTCACCCAACTTTCCCCATTCAGACCAAGAGCTAGCAGTCACTTCTCATCCAATTAACCTGAGCAAAATTCATATTTATCAAGCTGAGTGTGCAATAGGACAATTAACAACAACATGCAAACAAATAAAATAGATTCTCACCTTGATCTTCTGAAGAAACCGGAGACCTGGAAGTAAACCAACAGACCCATCAGTCTTTTTTTGGTAAGATGAAAAGGAAAACAAATGAAATTCAGTGCACTTTCAGGGATTTCTGCAGCAGCACTTAGTAAAGCAGAGTTTGGCTGATGCTAAATACTTCTACAGGTTATGTTATGTTCAGCTCCTAACAATTGCTGAAATTCAGATCCCGCTTCATTCCGTCTTTGCATCAGAATGAGCCTCACGAAACATCCACCTAGTTCTGCGTCACTGTGATTTTGGAAAAAGGAGTACTTTATTATTATTATTGGAAAATATAAGGAGAAGAATGAAGGGTGTAAACAGGTACAGCTGGAGGGATAAACTGCTGTCGTCTCTCTTCCCCTGGGTCTTCGGGCTGCCCCCCAATAATGAGCCTGGTTACTGATCTCTAAGACCTGCCTTGAAATCTCTGCCTCCCCAAGGAACAAGCTATTGCCACCCATTATCTCAACCTCATGTGTGCAGTCAGTTTCTATCTTCAGCAGTCTCAAGCCAGAGAAAAAAAATAACGGGGGAAATTGCTTCTGTGGATCAGGTCAGAGGTGAATTGATAACCAAAGGTCCATCAAAATCCAGCAGTGGCTCCACTGAGATTTCCTAGCCAAGCTGAATGCAGAGTGAACGTTCTGCGGCCAGATTTTCCAACACTTTACTTTTCTCTTCAAAGTAACTGCTGGTGTGCATCACAGACATGATCAGGGAGAAGAACAGTAGCTTAGTGGAAAGGGCAGGGGCAGGGCAGTGGTAAGGGAAGTGTTGCTTAGGTGCATTGCTGGGAGTACTGGGTTGGCTCCGACAGTGTGCCCCTGTAACAAAGCTACACTGCCTTTCCCAGCTAAGCAGCATTGATTATGCTGTCAGGAGGGCAACTCTGTGGCACCTGCCCCATAATGCCAGTCATGCTCCAGGAACACATGCTTTTCCTCCTAAAGGTCTCAGGGTCAGTCCTTGGAAAATCCAGTCTAAAAGCACCAGGAAGCAGGTGATGGGAAAGACCTCTATCTGAGGTAAAAAGGTAAAGGACCCCTGGATGGTTAAGTCCAGTCAAAGGCAACTATGGGGTTGTGGCGCTCATCTCACTTTCAGGCCAAGGGAGCCGGTGTTTGTCCGCAGACAGCTTTCCAGGTCATGTGGCCAGCATGACTAAACCGCTTCTGGAGCAATGAAACACTGTGACAGAAACCAGAGTGCATGGAAACGCTGTTTACCTTCCCACCATAGCAGTACCTATTTATCTACTTGCACTGGTGTGCTTTCAAACTGCTAGGTTGGCAGGAGCTGGGACAGAGCAACGAGAGCTCACCACCATTGTGCAGATTCGATCTGCCGACCTTCTGATTGGCAAGCCCAAGAGGCTCCGTGGTTTAGACCACAGCATCACCTGCATCAGGTCTACCTGAGACCTGTGGTCATCAAGGTGTTGCTGGGCTACAGCTCCAATCAGCCCAACAACATTGGGAGGGGTACAGATTCCTTACCCTGTTTTCTCAATTTAATTCCCCTCCCATGAAGCTACTATTAGCTACCGTTTTCGGTGGGGAGGAATAGGTACCAAATCAGCTAGAGACTTGTTTTTGTTAAAGCCCCACCTCTACCATTCCTTTAGCGGTGTTCCCTGGGAGAAGCAAGCGAAGGGGAACGCATGTTACTCAAGTGCTTATGAGAACAACTTTTCCACCAGCCCCCTACAGTTTAGTGCCCCTTGTAGCCATTCAACGGCAGAAGGGACAGCTAACCAATGGCAATTGCAATTACCGGGATCCAGAACGGAACAGCATACAATAATCCATTTTGCAGCCATAACTGAGCATTTACTTTAGCATCCTTTTTGTCTCGCTAGCATTTCTATCACAGCAAGACAGGTAGAGGTAATTAGCTCTGCATCTGAAAAGACCAAAAGGGGGGGGGGGAATCACCATGGCAAGTGCTGCTAAGAAAATTATAAAGTTTATACTCCTGCTATTATGGTATGCACCTGTTGGGACCAGGCCAAGGATAAGGCATAAGATAGATGCAAAACTACAGGGTAGGGAGGGGGGAGAGAGAAGGTATTGACAGCTGGATCTCCAGGTGGGGGTCACTAAAATGCAAGGCTTGAGTTGAAAAATGGGAAAACTCAAACCTAAAATGGGGCAAGCGGTAAGATGGGGAATATGCAAGAGAAATGATTTTGAGGGGATATGGAAATTGTTTGTAGAATTTGTACTGTTAAAACGGAAAGTGGTCAAACGATCGTGAGAGGTGCTGAAATGTTGGCAGGTTGGATAATTGCAATGGAATGGTCTCGGGTGGGATGCATATTTTTATTCTTATTTCATTTATTATTATTACTTTGTCAAAAAAAATTTTTTTTAAAAAATGGAGCAAGCAGGAGTCAGTAGAAAATGGTAGAAGGCTTGGCTCCTTTTATTTGTTAACCCTGACCAATCCAAAGACATGACTACCAGCTTCTTTCTAGGCTTGGTTTGCCATATTTTGAAGAGAGAGAAAAGAGGACACATTTGTCAACATCTATTTTTAACTCTGGATCACTATGACCGACTCCACCCATGAAAAACAGGACATGTCCTGGAAAA